GAAAAATTGGGTGAAACTTTTGGTGTTAGTCGCTTCATGTCCCAACCGAAACTATCAAGCAAACAGGCTCGTTGGTAGAAACTTCTTTCAGAGTTCAATTTTATGCTAGAGTATCATCCCGGATCTAGTAATCATGTTGCTGATACTCTTAGTTGCCGAGCAGACTTGGCCATTATTTTCTCTATGGCTGCTCTTTTAAGGAGCACAGTTACCACAAATACAAGGGACCAAATTCAGACGCTTTTGGATAAGGACTCGGCTACTCAATATTTGGTCGACCTTATCAAGCATGGTAAAATTAGATAGTTCAGCTCGATGGGGGTCTAGTGTCGACTAAGGGAGACCACCTATATGTCCCTAAGGGTGGAGATTTGAGGAAATCACTAATCACAGAATGTCATGACATGATTTGGGCAGGACATCCTGGAGAGGAACGCACTTCTGCACTATTACAATGTACGTACTACTGGCCTCAAATGCTGGACGACATTGCAACTTATGTGAAAACTTGTCTTATTTGTCAGCAAGATAAGGCAGATATCAGAAAAAGACAGGCTTGTTGGAGCCCCTTTCCGTCCCAACTAGACCATTTGAGAGTGCATCAATGGACTACATTATTGGATTGCCAAGTGGATTTTGGCACTGTCATCATCGTGGTGGACAGTCTATCAAAGTATACAACTTTAATCGCAATGCCTAAGTATGTATCAGCTGAAGAGAAGGCTTAACTCTTCTTCAAACACCAAATACTAGGGACTGCCAAAAGACATCGTCAGTGATCGGGATCCTCAATTTATTGGCATATTTTGGACCGAGTTGTTCAAACTTCTTGGTTAAACTTTGAGCATGAGTTCTAGTTTTCACTCATAATCTGACAGACAGACAGAGCACTTCAATTCTATGCTGGAAGAATATTTTCGGCACTTCATCTCTACTTCGTAGAAAAATTGGGTGAAACTTTTGGCTGCAGCTCAGATTTGCTTCAATGCCCAAAAGAGCTCTTCCACCAATAAGAGTC